CACAAGGAATCCTGTCAGTACTTCAATATAACCAACATTAAGGTAGGCTTAAAAAAGTATATGAATTGTTTAAACTTTGAGGGATTCAGCATGAACATTGATACTTGTCAGCCCGAGAAAATGCTTTTTGTAATAGGCAATGAAGCACATTTTAATGACAATTTTGATTGGTTAAGGAAACTGTCGAAAGTATGATAGAAGGTGAAATGGCTGTGGTTGAATTTGAGAAGCCTTCTCGGTTATGTAATTTAACGGCGTGCTCTTCCGATCCTTGTTTCAACAATGGTCGATGTCAAGTTGACGGATCCGATTTTATTTGTCATTGTCCTCGAGAGTGGACTGGAAAACAATGTCTGATTGATGTTGACGAATGCAAGTCAGGTTGGTTCCACTGAACTACCAAATATTTACGCATAACTGGACTACTATTTCAACCATAACTTCGTGTCTTTTTAATTTATTCTAATTTATTCACTCACATATTCGTTTCTATAGATACCTGTAGTAACAATGGTGTATGCGTGAACAGAAAAGGAAGTTTCTCGTGTGAATGTCGAAACTCATCAACAAGTGGAAAACTCTGTCAGTTTAGAGAAAAAGTTTGCAACCCCAACCCATGTGGTAAAGCAAAATGTTATCCGAAAGAGGTGAAACTGCGTTACGAATGTCTTGCTGACGTTAAGGCTGTTGCCATGGTGTTCACACTGGATGATGCGAGATTACCGTTTAAGAATTGGATGTTGTATGACGTGGCTAAGGAAATTGAGAATGCGATCAATGATGCAGCGGTTGTACAAACAAGAGAAGGTAAATAATTATAAATGCATTTCGTTTATTTTTAGTTTACGAATAAAATCTTCACATTGAGCAAATATGTTTCTAAAAAAAATATAGAAATTGTTTTGTTTCTTAAGTGTGATTTTTTACCAGGAAACAGTGTTTCCTGATTTGCCCACCTTCGGGAAACATATGGCTAGGAAACAATGTTTCCTGGTTTGCCCGTCTTTGAGAAACATGGCTAGGAAACAATGTTTCCGCAACACTAATTCTTAGTTTCTCCGGGGCTTTAATCTATCGCTTCACTTTTAGGTGGACGAAGTCGACGAGATACTATAATAGTTGATTATAGCGAGTGTTCAGTTCGTGTCAAGCAACACAAATTAGTGCAGGACAAGCAACTTGAATTGCAGATAATACTTGTTTGTGCCCAGCCCCCGGAACAGAAATATGTGTGCGATGCCATGTTCAAGCAAGGTATGGTGACGTCATGTACAGATGAGAGTGGTACACGGGAAGCGAAACCAAAAACTGATCCACCAACCATTAACCCAGAGAGGTACGTATTTTGAATTACAAACTTGACCGCTGATTGGCCAAAACCTGTGTCCAAAATCTCAGATCATTCATAAAACCCATTTCCACTCAAGGAAAATTTCCACGGACAGAAATTTTCCAAAAATATCATTGTTTAAAGTTGAAAATTTTCAACTTCAAAATTGTTTCTGACGGAAAATTTGTGTCGGCCAATCACATTTAACAAAATTTTCTTTGTGCGGAAAATTTTCCTAAATTGGAAATGGGCCTAACTGGAAAGTTTGAGGTCTGTCCTGTAGCATTGTTTAAACTGCAAAATATATATATTTTTAGTGTAACTTTGGCGTTTATTGTTCGCAAGCCAAATGGGAAAGACACAGAGGCGTCTGAGACAATCAATGTGTTAAGGGAAAGAAATATTGAGGAGGAATTAGGGAAACACAAAATGTTTGATATCACTTTGAAAGGTAGCTATTTAAAATTTAGGAAATATACTACTAAAAGAATGTTCTGCCTAAAAGTTTGAAAACAGAAGGCTGCATTAACACACTGAGCTGATAATTTGAGATGTCATATGTAATAAACATTTATTATGGGGTATATAAAATACTCGAAAAGTATGTTAAAAAAGAGGCACTAGCAGAGTGTTTTCAAATACTTTGACGTGTTTTATACGCTGGTAATAGACAACTATCGAGTTTGTTATATTACTTCTCAAATGGACATGTATTTAAAGTGAGAAATTGAATGTACCGAGACCGACAACGACACAGTGCTCTTTTCGCTCATGCATTATTAAATTTGAGAATTTTTTGTTAAACTGACTCACTTTGTTTCATTTTAGCACGTTCCCTTAAAAATGCCGAATCAGGTATGTTGCTGATTTGTTTGTTTGTTTTGTTTGCTTATTTGTTTAATATTTCATCGCTGAATCTCTCTGCATCAAATACTAACTGTCTTCTATCTTGATTTTCCTCAGGAGAAAGCGATTCTGATCTCTCGTCAGGTGCTATCACTGGAGTGGTTATTGGTTGCATTGTTCTAATTATTCTCGCCATCGTAATTGTTTTCCTTGTCATCCGTACTAGGTATGTGAACTGTATATGTTACTGGAATATTATTTTCATATCAAACCACCGATCACAATCAATCACATGTTCAACCAATCAATTTTACAAAGTTGTTCTGTATCAATCAAGACAACTTTAGACTCCATCAAAATGGAAATCAAACCTTTAATTAATTCATTTATTAATAGCGCTACCATTAATATACTGTACGATTAATAGACAATTCCCATTATAGACTAATTTTAAAATTAGGCAAGGAAACCCAAATAAATCAGCACAGCTAGAAAGAGCATACTAAAATTAGTAAAATTACAAAGTTTGGTTGCGAAATGTTGTAAAATGGCGAAAATATAGCCTTGTAAAGTTCGCCAATTTTGTATACTTTTGTATTGCTTGCGGAAATTCCTACCACATTCCTACCACATTTAGGCCGAAAATGTCGCACGCAATACAAAAGTATACAAAATTTGCAAACTTTGCAAGGCTATATTTTTCACATTTTACAACATTTCGCAACCAAATTTTGTAATTTTATTAATTTTAGTATGCTCTTTCTAGCTGTGGTGATTTATTTGCATCTCCTTGCCTAGTTTTAAAATGAGTCTATAATGGGAATTGTCCATTATTAAGCAAAGGCATTAATTAAGTATGCCAAAAGCTGATTTTTTGCCGGTCACGTGCCGGTCCACATAACGTCATATTCACTGCATGCTTTGGCGAGGGGACAACTGGTCAGCAATGAAACAAATATTGACCGGTCAATAATAAAACCGGAAGTGAGGCGCGAGTTGTTCATATCAATCAGCAAGTTTAATAATTAAAGCAAAGTTATTTCAAGAGTTTCAGCATGTATGCCTGTCGGTTTTATTAGTTTCGGAATCCTTCGAAAGCCGGACCGGACTCGAAGAAAATCCAGACTTGAGAAACCCCGGACTCAGACCCGAAACTGAATCTGGACTCGTCTTTGAAAACCCGGACATGACTTTTGAAAACTCGAACTCGAAATAGGGTTGGGATAAAACGCGGAACCGGAATGCGGATTCCGTAAGCGGATTCCGGATGCGGATTCCGCATTTGAGGATAAAACGCGGATTCCGGATGCGGATTCCGCAAATGAGGATAAAACGCGGATTCCGCAAATGAGGATACAACGCTGAGCAAATTATTGTAAGAGCTGCTAAATATCAGCAAATTATTGTAAGGGCTGCTGCCCCCAGTCCCCCTCTCCCCCCTTCCTGCTACGGCCCTGAGAAGTAATAAACAGAAAAACATTTACCGTATTACGATTTGTTTTACGTATCTCGTAAATCAGTTTATACCAATGGTTTATACTGACAATACCATTTATAATATTTTCTCTGTTTAAACAACTAAAATTTTGTTATACTATTATTGCCGTAATTATCCGAATGGCCAACCCGACTTTCCGAATATGTTAATTCTACAAAAGTTTGAGGGTGGGTGGGTGGGGTTAACCCCCCCCCCCCCCCCAAATAATACAGCAACCAATATAGCTGTTTTCATTTGACAATTGTGTAATATCCCGACTGGATAATTAAAGCAACACACTGCTATTGGTTGGTTGGGCGAAAATACAATGCAGACGTACGTGTCGATAAACCGACCATTTCTTGCATAAACCAAAACAAAAACATAGATAATGAGGTCTACTATGTCCCTATCAAGTTCCTTAACCTTCTTATTCTATTGACTACGGGATTTGTAGATAACCTAGCTAACCGGGAGCAGTTGCGAAAAATGCAACTATCTGCCCTCTGGCAGGAACCCTCGAACCTGCGGACCAGCTACAGAGGCGGGCTGACCAGTTGTCGAGCTAGATAACCACCCATTGAGAGAACCACACTCTAAGTGAATTTGTGGTATCAAGGATTGGTTTGTCCCTGAAAAAGCGCAGGAAAATAAACATAACAAAATTTTTAATAATCGTTTTCAAACTACAAATAGAAGGTAAATATCAAATGCTAAACATGAAACAATAACCTAAAACCCCACATTTATAATAGCAAAGTAAATAACATAAGTGAACTAGAACTTGTATATAAATAGCGTCAACACCTTCAGCATTCAACTTGGACCGCTAACTGCCAGTGAGCATTGTTTTTTGGGGGTTTGTTTTTTTTGTTGATCAGACACAAAACTCTTCATGTTTTGGTTGACAATATTGCGGACTGAACTTAGCAAACTTTCACCCAACATTAACCCAGTTTCTTGTAAACAACTTTCAACACATTGCCTAAAATCTCCCCAATTCTTAACCTTCTTCCATACATACGCACCAAATAGAATGATCTCAGAATCTACATCATCTTGTTCAGTCGACAATGATCTTCACAAACATGACATCATCCTTGATATATTGACGATTACTCAAGCTATCCAGTGGCATAAAGAGCGGGGAACCCGAAGCGATATTCATATCAGACTTGGGACGTTGAAAGGATGAACTTTGAGGATCTGAATTAAACGCATCAATCATGTGATCTCCATTGCCTTGATCCAACAGCATCATCGTAATCTTCTTTTGAAATGGCCAGGTTTGAAGAGCATCGTAGTCGCCTCTCATCACAACAAAAAACAACGACAAATGCGATCCTTTTCCGAAACCATCTCCATTCATATATATTTTAGCACACATCTTGTAACCATACTGAGCGCTGTAGAAAGGTGGACTGTACAAGGCCGTCTTCACCCCATTAATAGCATCTTGTCGTTTTCTCTCATAGCCTTCCATCTTCCACAGTAAAGTGCCGTTATAACTGTGGATAGCTTGTTGTGCACGCGGACCTCTTTGGGACTCCAAATCGGTAATTTTGACTGTATTCAGAGCAAGAGACTCATCCGTTTGATCCATCCTACTTCGCAAACGATCAATAATTGACACCTTATCTCTCACTTCTCGTTCTAAACTCATATTCCGTTCACGTAAGTTTCCGCATTCAGTAGTAAGGTCTCTAGTTTTACTTTGTAGCTCATGCACTTCATTTCTGATCCTTGTATCAGTCCCACCACTGGATTCCAAGCTTTCAATACGTCTTTCCAAGCCAGTTAACTTTCCGACAACCATGACGAATTTCTCGGCCAAGCCAGAGCGAACTTCAGTGATGTCGTCTCGGATTTTCTGCAACATCCCTGTATATTCTGGACGTGGGATGAAGTCGCTTAGTTGAGAAGCAACGGCAAGAGTATACCGCAGTAGTTGTCCACCATGATTTATCAATCCATCATTCAAATGTTGGCGCAGTTCCTTTCGCTTCAAAGTCTACAAATTGTATCAAAGATAAATGGCAAATAATAACTTATACAAGACTATTGGGCAGTTGAGCGTTTGTAAGTTCAGCAGTGAGCAGTTGCTCTGATCATCGACACACGTAAAAAGCTCACATCTTGCAGCACGTCTATCAACAGACTGTAAACAAGTTGTGCTCCTACTGGTTGTCCCAAGTTATCAACAAGTATGGAACAACTTGTTAACAACTTGTAACATTGTTGATATTATTGGATTTGTTTGTTGCTAGTCCGATACAGTCATGATATAACAATATTGTCAACCTTGTAACATTCTTCTTATATCATGACTGTATATCAGATTTGTTACAACAACCTTTTAACAAGTCTGATAACGCCATCAAGCTAGCTTGTTGCAAGTTGTTAACAGCTTGTTCCAAACTTGTCACAACAACTGGGAACAAGGAGTGCGAACACAACTTGTCGACAACTTGTGAACAGATTTCCAGCAACTTGTTTGCAGACCTGCAAGAACTTGTGCGTTTTTACGTGTGTACAGTATCCTTTCCAAGTATATTTTATTAAAACTTAAGCCAGTTTTCCACTTCAGGCGTACCGTACCGAAACGTATCAAAAACGTTTTTAAATTTCAAAATTTAGTGAATATTGATTGGTTAATACTTCCGTAGTACGCCAAAAAGTTGACTTGCGACGAACTTTTCATTTTGATACGCAAATACACCCGGAAGTACGTGGATTTATACACCTCTTTTCAATCTGCGCATGCTCACCAGTACGTTTCGGTACGGTACGGTTCAAGTGGAAAACCGGCTTTAATCTTAACTATCAGATACATGAACAAATCAAACAATCTCTCATTACTTATAACTGCCAACCTCATTAAAACTTGATAGTCCTAAACTGTTCCTCCTTCAGTTCCAGCATGGATAATAAAATAAATGGATAGGAAACTAGCTGACGTGACCTAATGTTTTCAATGGGATGATGGCGTGGTTGGATGTTGAAACCTAGTTGCAAACCAAATTCTCAAAAACGGCATGTTTACCAATAATATCAACCGGCATGTTTATCAATAATACAGCTAAACATTTTAGTCAAAGAGCAAATAAATATAGCTACGCCATTCTACGATGAAATCTCTAAGTATTTCCAGTCAAATTTAACAAATATGTCAAGCACTAAACAGTGAAAAATGCATCCCAAATTTCGTTAAAATTGGCGACGCCAATTTCGTAGCTACAAATGTAAAAAAATATAAAACAAAGGCGAAAAACATTTACCTTGAATACTTTGTCGTGGCTTAGGCATGTTTTTAAAACAATTAGACCAGTTTATGCTTCAATATTACTCTTTTAAAGCGGAAAATATAGCGAAACAACAAAAATGCCGAGAACTTTGGCAATACGCGTGACGTCACAGATTGCAACTAGGTTTAGACTGTGACGTCAGCTAGTGTCCTATCCATTGATTTTATTATCCATGGTTCCAGTAAGCAGTGCCGTCGTAAGCAAATTGTTATTGGTGCGCTCATCTAAGGAAAGAGGACTGGGGGCATGCCCCCTCAAAATAATTGCATTTCGAAGCCTCAGGAAATAATTTTGCATGTTTTCTGAGAGGGATTATTATCAAAATTGAGAAGTTAAAAATTAAAGATTTGTGATGTATTTTTTAACTTTTTACAAAACAACACAACCACAAGTATGAATGGATCGGTTTTGTTCCTAGGAAACGTAAAATAAATTTAAGTTACTTAAACCACAAACTGGCTAGAGGCCCAGTAAGGGCCATCCAAGTAGAATAATGAAGAAGAGTTCTGAGGAAATTGGTGCGGTTTAAATGAGGTAAATCTTATTTATTTGTACTACTCATGCCTTACTGCCCATTGCTATCATCACAGTACGCGTAGAAAAAGCTTATACTGGATAGCTCTAATAAGGCGAAGCGACATCCTATATTGGTGCAAAGTTATAATAGGAAAAACTGAAACAGAATTACCGGGAGAAAACCTGCGTGCGTCAACGAATACAGCAAGTAACTATTACCTTATCGTGGTTGCATCCTACATCTTGATACTCACAAGTCGCCGGAGCCTCATTGCAATCGCGTCTCTCGTGTCTTTCAATGTCTTTTCTCAAGACATCTTTCTTACAGTATCTGCAAGTCACGGGTGCATCTTCGCAGATCGTATCAACATGTTCCTAGATGAACAGTGAGTAAAACTGACTAACTGAGTATACCGTACTGGTTCGAGGATAATTACAAGGTTTGAGGTTAATTACAAGGTTTGAGGTTAATTACATAAGACGGCGTGACATGCTGGATTGTTCAAACTGTTCTCAAAGGTTACTTTATTTTTACTTACCTTCATCGAGGCAAAGGTGACATCTTTCCCACAAAAATCACACTTCACATTCCTATATTCACATTCACTTTTCAAGTGTTCACCCTGATGAGAGCGTTGGAATGTCATCTTGCATTGGGAATGGATACAGTTTATCAAAGCATGTTCACAGACAGCAGAGTGTCCCTAAGTCACAAAGAAATGGTTACAGTCTCTAGGGCTCGTCAACATCATGCAACTGACCCCTGGCAATCATTCAACACAGAATAGTGATCTGGGATAAAAAAGATTAAACTCTACTTGCATGAGAATTCCCATAGCGGTTCGCATTCTTTCCCAAGTGAAAAAAGATGTATAAAAACACACTCAGTCGTCTCAGTATTAAAATTGTAATTATTTTCGTGATTGTATTTCTTTCTCTAATATCGATTAGACGTTTACACAGCTCATACAATACGCGCTTGAAAACTAAGGTCGAAGGGTTAGGTTTTGGTGAGGGACGAGGAAAATACCCTCGCAACACAAGAGAGAACAATCACACACCTTCTTATACGAGTTTTCAAACACAAGCAAAAAAAACAATCTCAGTAACACTACTAACACGTAGGGCCACTATAAGGCAAAACTCGACGAGGTCTCGTGCGTGCAAACAGAATTAGGTCGCGGGCATTGCGTGAAAATTGACAGGTATTGCGATTTCTGTGTGCTGTCCTCTTCTTGGACATCAAATCTTCGCTTTCGTTTGCCATAACTCTAATTTAACTGGCAACAAAACAGCACAACTTTATAGGTACTATTTCACGCATTTTTGTGAACCTTAAACTGACATTTTACTCATTCAAGAAGCTACAAAAATGGTGCGTGCACTTGCCACACTCTGCAAACTTGCTCAAGTAAGTCCCTCATCCTTAACCTACAGTGGCAAGCTTAGAACAGAATGTTGATTCTATCTACAATCAACGCTCCTCAAATTATTTTCACCTTCGTTCCTCCTCTTTCCTTCATACTGCCCAACTCACCTCCAGTGCTTCATAAGTGCCATGCCAAGGACAGCCTTGGTTGGTACAATGCAAACATAATCCATTGAGCTCACGCTTTGTGAAAACATCGGGGAACACCTGAAAGAATTTCATGCCAAACTTTTTAAAACAAAAATATCCAAGGTTCGAGTGATTTTTTAACTAATAGTGAGCTAAAAAGATGCTGTAAAGTCTGTTCTGCGCATCAGCTATGCTCATAACAAAGGGCCGGACCCGCAGATATATATTGAAACGTAAAGTTTATATTCATTTACAAGTATAGCGAACCAGAAATGTGTTAGATATTCAGTTAGTACATCATATTTTGCAAATATAGCAGTTCAAAATGTAAACAAAGCGTTTGTTTACATTAGCTACTGACTTTACAAAAACTGGAAATGTTCACCCAAGTAATTAATAGCATGCAGTGTAGATACCTACTTCCCTAAACGTACCGTAAAGTTCCACCAAGAGGAAAAACCATTTATAACAGGAAGAATTAAAACATTAATAGTGAACCGAGATAAAGCTTTTGCGAAAGGAGATAAACAGAAATCATATCGTTGCGTAACAAAGTTCGCGACGAAATTAAAAAGGAAAAACAAAATTTTTACCGGGCGAAAGTAAAACCATTACAGTCTAACAACCCAAAAGATTGTTGGAAAAGTATCAAACGTATATGTGGAATAAGCAAGAACCAGAAAATCAACCTTGTCAACCCAGACTCTGGTGAACCTCTAACCTCAGAAGAATCAGTAGAGTGCATTAACGATTATTTAATTAACTTAACTAAAGACTATAATAAAATATCAAACGATCTACAGCTGGGTGGAGACGATCTTGATCTTCCTACCATTTCAAGGGAATGTATTGCACAAAAGCTGAAAGAAATCAATATCAATAAGTCCCCAGGTCCCTTTGATCCACCAACGAAAATTATCAAACACTTTGCGGAGCAAAGGCCCACTAACAGATATTATTAACATTATCCGGCCCACTAACAGATATTATTAACACCTCCTTTCAAGAGAAATGTTTCGGGGAGATTTGGAAAGCATACAACTGCTGCCATATCCCAAAGTCAAATCCATGCACTACAGTAGGAGATATTATACCAATTGCCCTTACAAGTGTATTTTCAAAAATTCAAGAATCATTTGCACTGGATTGGATGTTGGAAGATTCAAGGGACTTTCTCAGCGAACGTCAATTTGGGGGAATTCCTCGTTCGTCTTCTGTATTAGCCCTCCTCGAAATGCTACACACATGGTTTGTCGCTTTGGAGAAACCCAAATCGGTAATTAGAATCGTTTTCTTGGATTTTTCCAAGGCATTTGACCTTATCGATCATAACATCTTGCTGAATGACTTTAAATCTGGGCATGGTAGACTTTACGGGTAGCGGATTGCGGATGCGGATTACGGATTGTGAACCGATGCAAATCGTTTGTTTCTTCGGAAAAAGCCACAATAATTGCCTGTAGCTGCTTGTAGCTATGCTATGCCCCCTAGGAAATGGCTATATATGTCTTGGTTATAACGGAGTATATCTGTGTTAGAATGAAGCAGCCGAATATTTCGACAATAAAGAATAAACCAAGTTTGAATAAAATGAAACACTCAGATTCAAACATTTCGTAAGTCACATCGCGTGTATGGCGTATAATAAACTTTTCTAAATAGCAAAACAACATTTGCAAAGGATATTATATCCATATAACGACAAGTTACATATTACTCAGTTGGTAAACAGACATGATAACTCAAAGTTCTTGTTCATCTTATTAGACGGAAAATGGCCATTAAGTAAAAAGCTGATGTCTCAATAAGACTAGTCTCAGTGCAAATTGGCATAATATATCTTTTAATTTCAACGGACCATTCCTCAATTAACCAAAAGTTTGAACTTAACAAGTCTAGACAAAATAATTATGATTTTTATACAATTGATTTGATTGAGCCTATTGTCCGACAGTGGCATTTACCTTCAGCCTAAATATAGTCCCAAAAATTTTATCTCATGCATACTGTATATACGTCACTTTTGGATATAATAGACCTTTCCCAGGGCTTCAGTGTGAGGACGAAGCGAGACACGAGGAAGCCCTGGTCTGGGCCGGTCACGAGTCTACCCAAAAAATGGCAGTATTTGACAGCTACTCGTCAAGGAGTGGCGAGATATTCTTTAATGAAATATACAAGTCTTCGAAACAAATAAATAGCCAAAAGACTTCTCAATCGATATTATTTATGTGTAGAGCGAAGTTGGGCACGAATCAGCTATGTTTTCTAAGATATACCGATATTTCTGGAGATCTTCAACTACAGGCAAAGCTGCATCCAAGCTGCATCTAGGCGTCTCCATGCAAGTGGTGATTCACACGAAATTTCCTTTCTCTCGTCTTGAACAATATGGCTATTGCTATAATTAATATTTAGTTAAAATATGCTCTTATGATCTGACTTAGTTCAATATAAATAAACAAATATAAAACCTCGCGTAACCTGTTTACGCTGTACAGGAATATACGGATTCGGTTGTTTCGCCGGACACCAACACTTGCCGTTCAGGAGCAATGCTTGCCTACAAATTTTTATCCCCATCACAATCTTTGTTTTATTTTATCGTATAGTCGCAATTTTCAAGTACTCGGGGTATTCTGAAACTGTAGAACTCGGTGGCGTGCGAATCTTGTGGAGACTACATCGGCCTAGGCGTAGAGCTATTAAGGAAACAGGGCCTAAATTAATTTAGTAGTTTCATTTAATTGTTTGTCTTGCTTTTATTTGTCAGTACAGAATATTGTAAATTAAAATATTACTACAATGCAATACGCATAGTATTTCATCAGACATCTGCACTAATAAATACTGTACAAGGAAAACTACAGCTTAAATAATAGTAGACTAGACGTTTCTTGTTTTGTCAGGAAACATCACAGCTCACTTCGACACGGCTTTTGAGTTTTGTAACCGGCCGAGGCGAAAGTAAATCATGCAGTCTGGAAAACGTCTTACTTTGAAAGATCATTTTGCAAAACATACTCGTACGAGGTTGGGATATAATATCCTTTGCAAATGTTGTTTTGCTATTTAGAAAAGTTTATTATACGCCATACACGAAATGTTTGAATCTGAGTGTTTGATTTTATTCAAACTTGGTTTATTCTTTGTCGAAATATTCGGCTGCTTCATTCTAAAACAGATATACTCCGTTATAACCAAGACATATATAGCCATTTCCTAGGGGGCATATCATAGCTACATGTAGCTACAGGCAATTATTGCGGCTTTTTTCCGAAGAAATAAACGATTTGCATGGGTTCACAATCCGCAATCCGCATCCGTAATCCGCTACCCGTAAAGTCTACCATGCCATAAATCTGTTGGAGTTCGTCCCGCTTTACTACCACGGTTAGCCTCGTACCTATCCGACCGGTTACAGAGGGTAAACATAGATGGATCGACATCGTGTTTTAAAAAGATCAACGCAGGGGTACCTCAAGGAAGTAAAATCGGCCCGATAACATTTATTACCAAAATTAATAAACTACCAGATTTGGCACTCACTGACAAAAATTCAGAAAAATAATATGTTTCAATTTTTATGGACGATACTACCCTATCAGAGATTCTCAATATAAATAACCCTGTAACCCAGCCAGTGAGCAACATCCAAGCAAATGTTGAAAGAATTTCAAAATTTTCAAGAGAGGAAAACACGAGGTTGAACTTGAAAAAACTAAAGAAATGGTCATCCACCTTCGAATTATGAAATACCAGTGATTACGATAGACAACGTTCCTATTGAAAGAGTACAATCCCACAAGCTATTAGGCATTTGGCTTCAATCAGATCTCAAATGGCATACTAATACCTTTTTTACTATTAAAAAGGCCAGGAAACGCCTATATTTTTTAAAGGTGTTAAAGAAATATGGCGCACCAGTAAAAGATCTATTAAAGTTTTATCGTTCAGTGATCCGATCGGTTTTGGAATAGGGTGACATATTATGGCATGGAGGTCTAACGTTATCACAAAGTCAAGATATTGAAAGAATCCAAAAACGTGCTCTAAGGATTTTCACTCCTGACCTAAGTTATGAAGATGCTCTTGCTTCGTCTAAATTACTTCCACTTAATCAGAGACGGGACATTCATTGCATTGACTTAATTAAAAACATGTCCTCTCCGACACATAAAATACACTATTTATTACCTGTGAAAGTGGGAAACATTAGAAATAGGGAAACTAGATCCAATAGAAACAAATTTTATAACTTTAAAAGTAGAACTGTTCGTTTTAAGAACAGTCCGCTAGTCTATGCTATTGATAAATACAATAATAATATATAATTCTTACTAGATGTAAATAGATATAGTTTTAAACTTTTAATAACATTTTAATTTTAATAGATTAGTAGTAGTACCTATGACAATTAAGTTATCTTATTCCATGTATACTATTAAAACCCAGTATTATTATTATCTTTAATTAAGGTGATTCATCAGTTTGGATTGCGCACTTTTACTAGTCTACTGAGCATATCTAATAACAAATTCTAGCTAATGTATGCAGTCGAACTGCAATGTAAAGTGATAAAGAAAGAGTACAAGGGCAAAGACTGCCAAAGAGAAAAACACTCTGCATTGATTTTTGGCGTGCTTCAGGAAATATACCTTGAAAAAAGACACAAAGGCTCCCTTTGCAACTATACTAGGCAGTTTGCTGCGTCCCGACATCGTTCACTTTCATTTCACCCATCTTGGAACTGAAATATTTTTACCGGAACTAACACTTTCGAACACGTTGAGTTAAAATCCAGAAAGTTCCCGCTCCGTAGACCTGCAGTTTCTATCACAAACTATACAATTTTATCTTCACTAATTTCACGACAACTTTTTTCATTGTTCAACGACACGGATCGATGACGACAAACGATTATGTCACTCAAAAAGACCAATTTCTATTAACCCAGTCTATAGGGGGCATATGTATAAATAAATAACTAGAAGGGGGGGGGGGCTATCAATTTTTTTCAAGAAAATGAGGGGGGGGGGTTGCAATTAAATTTGAAGGAATTTGCTTAATAAGCGTGGTATCCATTTGGTTGTCTGGTGGTATCCAAATGTTGCGACTAAATCATGGTCACTGATGTGAAATAGTCTGGATTTATCTTGTCTTCTGTGTGCTGTATGCAAATCAGTCTTTACTGATTGCAGAGATAAATTGACAATGTATTATTACATCAGCTATCTTGATGTGGTTAAATACATTTAAGCAAGGTGAACGGCGGATGTATTATGCAGGCCACATCCGCTGAGGGGAGTCTGTGACGTCATATCGTTCAAAGGGGGTTGTTTCACGCCTTGTGATCAGTGCTTCGGTCTGGGTATTCATTCTGCCATTGTATGCTTTGCCTAGCTGCAGCAAGTTTAGCGCTTAGATACCTTTTCCCTACCCACCCACCCATGTTATTCTAGAGGATTTTATCTGGTAGTATGTCATTTTATTTTATAGAATTTTTAATCTCACACAAAATAGGATGTATAGACCACTATACATTGTATTTCGTTTCCACTGACTTAAACTGGTACCGGAGGTATGCCTTGGCAGAACTGTCATGGCTATCTCCTTTTGCTGCTAATATTACTGATTGTTACTCTCATTGTTGCTGCGCAGCTGCTATGGCAATACTTCGTGCCATCAAGTCTATAGTTGCAGCCTTGGACCACAAACGGCACCTGCCTCCAAACACTAATACTCTGCCGTTAAACATGGTTACAATCGCCCAGACCAAATGGAAACCTGATTTTAGTGTTATATATGAAAATACTCCTCTTTTAATTATCATTTTCTGCTAATATATATTTTTGCTCGACGTTAATATCTTGTCAGTTCCATATTCTTATTTAATAATTAACACTATAACGCCAGGGTACGAGTAGAAATGAAAATTGGATAGGGGTCAAAGAAAAATATTCGAATATGCAGGGGTCATCATCATTAAATTTCTGCTCTTTAAGGGGGGCTTTCAATTTAAAAAATTCCCCTCCCTTCCATAAATAATGACCGGTCCCTTACTGATGAATCACCTTAAGCAAGCGACGCCTTTGTTCACATGAACGTCAACCAAAAATTGGAACTATAACAAATTTTGGCTGCATTTTGCATCATAGCGCTGGTGTAATGAAGCAAAAAAACTCTAAAAATCTTATGTTTTGTCATATGTGTTGATGGTTACTACAAACTGACACAAACACAGTTTTTGGTACCTAAGTAAGTTCGCCGTTCTCATTTCAAACCCAGTATTAAAATACACAAGTTTATGACTGTTGCAACAAAATTAAATTCGACGGATAACCTAATAACAGAGATTGATGGGAAATCAGTTTCAATGATCCAGTGATTTGTCCAAACAACCTATCACTCCCCCAACCGAATGTTGAGCTTGTGTCGTGGTAAATACCAAAAGTTATTGCGGGGATGTGAACAACATTAAACTAGGGAAAAAAAGGGTGATGACATTTGTTTTGTCAACGTAAATCAACTTTGCAACGTTGACATGCAGGAATGGTCTCGAGTGTTTCGTCCACGATTGCAATTAGCACTGTTCTGATAATGTAAGCATACCATGGAATAAAGGTAACCAAATATTTGAGTATTATGCCCGCTGCCATCAATTAACATTTTTGTATGACTCAGTCTCAGATGCCTACCACTTTTGGAACAAAAGTGTCTGAATATAAATATGAAACCACTCACTTGTTCTTTTTCGAGTACTGTACCATCTGCAGGACACCTTGGGTTTGAACTCCTGAATGATAAAAAATAGTTTTCATAATACTGCACTGTTCAATATTCAATCTTCAGGATCAAGTAATCAAAACTCGTTTGATAAGCATCACGCTGAGTCTGCAGAATAACAGGGGGTGGCACCAGGCAAGCCGGTTCAATCGTGTCAAATATCGCCCATGCCAAAATATGAGCGAATGTTATATGCACCAATTCACTGATACTAACTGGATGACGGACATGGCCTCACATTTCGCAGGCAACATGGTCAGCTGATCAAAAAGAAATATATTCGTGCACGAAATACGAGATGTTACCTGAGCTACAGAGTCCAGTTTTGCTCTAACCATTAGCTATGTTGGTAAATATCAGGATTGTTTTCACTCTTTAGCTCAGCTGGCTAGAGCGCTGCGTCGGAAATTCCTGCCAGATGGCCTATAGGTGCACAACCTCGTTCCCAACCTCGTTCCCAGGGTATTTGCTCTTGGGAAGCAAAGACCCTGGTGGACGCTGGTCACGTGACCCATAGAAAATTGATAGCCTCAGAGGGGGATGGAAAGGTCTCATATTACATGTTTCCACTTCCGCACTTCACACTTCGATTGCAAGGAGTGGCCGTGCTGTACAATAATCTTTGAGAATCATATATTCTTCAAAATTCTTGCTAAATTGGTTTCTGTTTGCCGTTTTAAATTATACAAACATGGTAAAATGCAGATTCTTATACTAACAGACAAGTCAGCAAATCAAGCAACGAAAACGTATGACCGTATGGTTTGAAATATTTGCGTTTTTAATCACTCTCGGGGTTCGGGCGCAATATTTTCATTTCATACGTACGTTTCTGTCCTGGCTCTGCCTCTGGTTCAGATATTTACAATATTATTATAATATGCCATTGAATTGTTGTCATATAGAAAGGAAACGGTATAAATTTTGTAAAATAGAGGTATCAAAAGCGACTGACAAAATTGTTTGGAATCGACACTCGACAGTGCACTTTTTTGTCTTCACGACTACCTGTTTGTTGAGCCAAAACATTGCACAGAATCTCCTATAATAAATTATAGCTATCGCCATTCACCCTCCCACCCTGAATGCAAAGGAATGATATCCGAAAAGATTTAGCAAAGTATTTGTTATTATATCTGGTACGAAGTGTCCCTATACGTTTTATCAGGGATATATATTTATATATACATAATTCATAAACTGTATATGCGCACCAAGTCTCGCTCATAGAATTACTTAATGAGGTTTATTAAGCCTTTTAAAGTTTCTATTGATACTGATAGATAGTTGTTTGCTTACAGTTACGAAGTATCGTTTGGTGAAACTTCTAAAATTTCAATTACAGTTACGACACAGTATAGGGGTATATACGATAAAGATTAAAGACTTAAAGTTGATTTAAATATTGATGACTCACAGCGGCATTATACAAGTCGAAAGAAGCTGGATTTTAAGTTGGATTATTCCTCAAATAATGCCTGGGCATTAATACCAATGCCAATGAAAGGTCTTTATAAGATTTATAATGTTTACTGCAATATATGATATAATTTAGTCTAGTGCATATATCGTCCTAGATATTCAAGTTGTACCGCACGCACCGAGGAGTCTTGGCGTGTGATAACAGTATACTGTAGCTGTACTTCGACATATATCATTCTTGATCGTTGAGCTGTTTCAGCAATGTAAATAAAGGGAATAACAGGAATAACGGGTTTTAATCCTGTGCTTACTGTAATCCACAGTCAAAACTGCACTATTGTTTTTATATACACAGTTGGCGATGTTCAGTACTTCAGTTGAGAAATCAAAGGATCCCGTTATAAAATAAATCCTTTGTTTTGAATATCGGACAGGATACATTTCAACTATAAACAACCATATCATATCGTTCGTTTTATATAAATACCGTTTGATCGATCAGTCGGCGTAGAAGATATCAGATATGTATGTTTATACGGCGATCTGATGCGTGCTCACTAGCCAGGCGCGTGTGGAGTATATTTTTCCTTGCAAGTGAAATATGATCCAGCTTCTCGCTTGAAATGTACCGCAGCACTTACTATTGATGACATTCAATATAGCAGGAAATCTTGTCATGATGAGTACGAATTTAGAACAGTATAAATCATGTTTATTAATACATGTAAAGTGAAGTATACAACACTAATGGCAATTGATAAAACTAGAATAGTGAAGCGAATAGTGCGAATAGTGCGAATAGTCGACGAATAGTGCGAATAGTCCGCGAATAGTCGACGAATAGTGCGAATAGTCCGCGAATAGTCGACGAATAGTGCGAATAGTCCGCGAATAGTCGACGAATAGTACGAATAGTCCGCGAATAGTCGACGAATAGTGCGAATAGTCCGCGAATAGTCGACGAATAGTACGAATAGTCCGCGAATAGTCGACGAATAGTGCGAATAGTCGACGAATAGTACGAATAGTCGACGAATAGTGCGAATAGTCGACGAATAGTACGAATAGTCGACGAATAGTGCAATAGAGACTTTGCAAGGCTTTCCACCGTGCTGTAGAACTAAATTTACCGAAGCGGGGCGGGGGGGGGGCTCTATTGACAAACATGAAATTGTGAAAACATTCGTTGATGTCAATGACGTCATACGTAATCGGTAAAAATTACGGGACCACTGAGTTTTAACAAATATTTAACAGGAAGTAGAATGACAATCAGTGGCGCCGTGGGACCCATGTTTTTTTTTTTGGGGGGGGGGCAAGGGCAGTACTTTTCCGACAAACCGAAAAAATTTTCCGACAAACCAAAAAGTTTTCCGGACGACAACATTTTAAATCTTCACTCCCCCCCCCCGTCGACAACTTTGACAATTTCCGACAGCCTTGACAATTTTCCGACAATTTCCGGCAGCATTGGCAATTTTATGACGGGTGTCAACAATAGGGGAGGGCCATGCCCCCCCCCTTCGGCCACGGCGCCACTGATGACAATCACTAGACGTATGACGTCATTGACGTACGTCGACGAATGTTTTCACGATTTCATGTTTGTCAACAGAGCCCCCCCCGGTAAATTTAGTTCTACAGCACTGCTGCAAAGCCTTGCAAAGTCTCTATTGCACTATTCGTACTATTCGTCGCCTATTCGTGGACTATTCGTACTATTCGTCGACTATTCGCGGACTATTCGTACTATTCGTCGACTATTCGCGGACTATTCGTACTATTCGTCGACTATTCGCGGACTATTCGCACTATTCGTCGACTATTCGCGGACTATTCGCACTATTCGTCGACTATTCGCGGACTATTCGTACTATTCGTCGACTATTCGCACTATTCGCACTATTCGCTTCACTATTCTAGTTTTATCAATTGCCCAACACTAATGCATCTGGCGAATGTCAACTACTACATTCTGACCCCTCCCAGATTGACAAAACAACACTAATTAAAAATCTGCTAGATTTTAGCAGATCACGTGACCAGCGTCCACCAGGGTCTTGGCTTCCCAAGAGCAAATACCCTGGGAACGAGGTTGAACTTTGGGTTAGGTTGTCCAAAATCTGTTTATAATCCGTTTATAATCCACTATTATAATTTTTAAACAGTGAAAATCGTATTTATTGTTACAATCGCGCGCATATATGTTACAACAATATTCTAATTATCTAAAATTAAGAAAACAGCTCTCTGTAATGAAACAGGTCTATTTTCTGAGCACTCCAAACAATAGTAGCTAATAGAAATTAAGTAATTATGGGTCATTCCACGGCTTATTTCTCCGACAATATATGTATAATGTGGCCCGCAGGGCTACCTCCACACATTTAGCGGCAATTGATAAAACTAGAATAGTGAAGCGAATAGTGCGAATAGTACGAATAGTCCGCGAATAGTCGACGAATAGTGCGAATAGTCCGCGAATAGTCGACGAATAGTGCGAATAGTCCGCGAATAGTCGACGAATAGTACGAATAGTCCACGAATAGGCGACGAATAGTATGAATAGTGCAATAGAGACGTTGCAAGGCTTTGCAGCAGTGCTGTAGAACTAAATTTACCGGGGGGGGGCTCTGTTGACAAACATGAAATCGTGAAAACAATCGTCGACGTACGTCAATGACGTCATACGTCTAGTGATTGTCATCAGTGGCGCCGTGGCCGGGGGGGGCAGGGGGGGGCATGGCCCTCCCCTATTGTTGACACCCGTCGTAAAATTGCCAATGCTGCCGGAAATTGTCGGAAAATTGTCAAGGCTGTCGGAAATTGTCAAAGTTGTCGACGGGGGGTGAAGATTTAAAATGTTGTCGTCCGGAAAACTTTTTGAAAAATTTTTCGGTTTGTCGGAAAAGTACTGCCCTTGCCCCCCCCCCAAAAAAAAACATGGGTCCCACGGCGCCACTGATTGTCATTCTACTTCCTGTTAAATATTTGTTAAAACTCAGTGGTCCCGTAATTTTTACCGATTACGTATGACGTCATGACATTGACATCAACGAATGTTTTCACGATTTCATGTTTGTCAATAGAGCCC